GTATTAAAAGTAAATTTTGACAATGTTTGGTGTTACATAAGTAATGTGATACCACCGAAAATTTATAATTTTTGGGAAGATTATGCAATAGTTCTTTCCAAAACAAAATGTTCGTACACTCAGATCATAAAGATTTTTTTTCAGATCAGGGATTTAGAATTTTCAAGACGGGAATGTCTCTTATACTTAATAGCATTGGAAAACAAAGAAAGATGGATATTTGGGTCATTAAGACCACCCAGAAAAGAGACCTGCAACCAGTCGTACCCTAGCTGTGGTAAACAGACTGTTGCATCGTGCAACAGTTGAGAATCCACAAACACAAAGATTACCGGCGAAAGCCGTCCACGTGCCCCAGGCAACAGTACGAAACATAATCGAGAAGGATCTTCGCTGGAAAATCGACAAAAGTCCAGCTTACACAAGTTTTTCCCACGACATCTCAGTTCAACCGTCGGATATCTGAAGTAACTGGAGAATGAAACCGGTATTCATGCTATTCTTTATGAAGACAAACCGATCAAGTGGCCTAGGGGAGGTGCATTCTGAACTTTACAACTATATAACGAAGCCTTTTGCAATGGAAACAACGCTGCAAGGCTATTATGAAGATGCACAGTTATCAGATAGAACATGACCACACATAGTAACTTTGACTGCAACAATGTATTGAAGCTTCAAAATCGTTTTAATATAAGTACTCAGCCTCTGTATAATCGTACTTTTAGTTAAATACAAATGAGATTGTAATGGTTATAAGGTGTTTTATTCTATGGAAACTTAAATTCAACCAATGTTTTGTCCTTAAGGCTATCTTGTATTAATGGTTATGATTTTATCAAAGAAATTAATAAAATATACATGCAAAGACAATCTGAATAAAATCGTTCTAACAATAGAAAGTTGACCTCATAATTCTACTTAAAAAATAAATATCAGAGGATTGATCCAGTATTTGAAACTGAATATGTAAAGCTTGCTGGAGCTTGAAACATTAACGAAGTATTGTGTATTTTTAATTACAGAAGGTTAATCGCAATTTATAATAATTATTTGCATGAGCTAAAGCAATGGAGTGTCACAGACGTGAGACATCGGTTCCATGGGTAACCATTCAATAGTGCAATGCTGCTACACGTAGACTTATGACTAGAGGACTCTGTCACAATTTATTCTGAGGAAATATTATTCTATAGTTAGATTGTTAAATTACGTAAAATTAAGGACACAGGATTTCCAAAAAGGGGGTCATTCAATGTTTTCCGTGGGAGTGGAAAAAATTGTGTATCAGTGTGTATAGGACAGTAACAGGCTCCGCAAACACCCTCTAGAGTCTAGATCAATCCAAAAATATATCCTGATTCACAAAGTTAAGTCTGTGGGTATGAAAGAGAACCATCTGAACCCAAAGGCCATTTCTTAGCTGTACAGGCCTTATCTCCTAGTACTGCTAACAAGATAATAAACAAATATTTAAAGTTTCTGGTTTCTGTTAATATTTAATGGATAAAAATTTGAAGATTTTATAATGTCATGAACAAATCTTTAAACCACGTAATTGTTTACTTTCTACAGCCATACAGTCACCTATAGCTTATCAAAAGGAGCTAACCAAAGATATGTAAGTAAACAACATGTATTACTAAGACTTCTTAATTTGCTAATGTAAATAAAAAGCTTGTGGTGTGTGTGTGTGTGTGTGTGTGTATATATATATATAAAAGAGGAAGGTTGTTTATTTTGTTCGCTATAGGAAACCAAATGGTTGAACTTACAAATTTTAAAATAACTTCACAACAACCAGTTTTTTACAAGAAATTTAATGGTGCTATTTATTTTGTATTTGGGGAAGTATTTAATGACGAAATTGACAATTAATGATTATTGCCACATTTTTTGTAATAAACATACAATCATAAGCACGTTTTGCACATAGAAAGCGTTATAGCGGGAGACACTCGGATCACCTTGCTGTCAATTCAGTATTTCCAAAAACAGTTTTCTTTCAGTGATTTAGTAACTTTGTGAATCGCAAATTATTGTTTAGTGATACAGGTGACTATGCCACGCAAGAAACGCCCTTTCTATGGAAAGTCTTCTGCTGCTAAAAGAATGCAAGCACAAGGAGCAGCTGAAACAGAAGAAGAACGCAATCAAAGACTTCAAGCACAAGCCGCAAGGCAGGCTGCTCAAATACAGGAAGAGGCTTTGGAACAATGTAAAGTTAGATTTCGAGCTCAAGCTGAAAGGCAGGCTACTCAAAGACGGCAAGAAACTGTTGAACAGTACAAAGCCAGAGTTCAGTCAGAATCATCAAGGCAAGCTGGATATAGACAACAAGAAACTTTTGAACAACGTCAAACCAGACTTCAAGCACAAAAATTAAGACAAATAACTTACAGAGAGCAAGAAATAGAGGAGCAACATGATGTACGACTTCAGGCTCAAAGAACAAGACAAGCTCAAACACAATCTAATTTCAAATAAAGCTTTGTTTGATTAAATGCTTTTTTATTTCTCTCATCACAGCTCTTGTCTACTTACTGAATAATTTGCTGAAAAAAATACTGATCTATACATTTCAAATCAAAATTTTCACAGTGCAACGGCGGGTAACTCAGCTAGTATGTATATACATATAACTTGGTTAGTATGTTAAGCATTGTTAGGTGTTTTGAAGAAAAACGGAGTTTCAAGATATGTGTATATGAAATATTTCACAAATCTCCTTATATACACTGTGTTAGTACGACAATACAGAAAACTCTCCTTATATACACTGTGTTAGTACGACAATACAGAAAACTCTCCTTATATACACTGTGTTAGTATGACAATACAGAAAACTCTCCTTATATACACTGTGTTAGTACGACAATGCAGAAAAATCTCCTTATATACACTGTGTTAGTACGACAATACAGAAAACTCTCCTTATATACACTGTGTTAGTACGACAATACAGAAAAATCTCCTTATATACACT